TGGATTTCAGACGCCAGTTCTGATACCGGGAGTGAGTTCTGGGAGGCCCTTGGAAGCCACCTGCTCCTGCAGGTCCCTAACCTGGGTGGGCTGAAGGGGACGGTGAGCCCATTTGCAAGGAAGTGTGTGGTGGTTCTTAGTGGTAAGGGCCAGCGGTCCCTCCAGAGGGTCAGAATTGTCCCTGTGGAGGAAATGCACGGATTTAGGGTCAGGTTGGTGTCCCCATCTTGGGAGACACCTGGGGGAAGCTTTCTAAGTCTCCAGCCTTGATCTCCCCGTCATCGTTTTGTATTTGGTGTTCAGCTGAGACACCGGATGTGAACGCTTTCTGAACACGAGATCGATGCTCATTATGTCATTAGCTGCCTTTCTCCAAGTCTGGGCAGCTGGGAAGCAGGCTTCCTGCTCTCCACCGGCCATGCAGCCACTTCTGCTCCCTGCCCCGTGCGTCTGCTGCTCTCGGGTCTATTTAAGGGCGGCCTTCGCACTGTGCTCTGCACTGACTGGGCTTCTGCCAGGTTTCCCTGACCCTTGCCACGTTCCCAGTCAGTCTGTGGTTTTAGACTCCAGCTTCTTCATAGGAAATTCAAACTGAGCAAATCCTCTTTTTGTGGGTGCGGAGAGGAAGTCTCCTGTGTTCCAGCCGAGAAATACTGGCTACTGTCTGCATAAGCCTTTAAGCCAACTGAGTCGTCTTCTTAGCGACAACAGCAGGATCATCTGCCTGGGCTGTACACTTCCCGAGATGATGGCATGCAGATCTGCTTTCGAAAGAATTTTTAAAAGATTCCAACCAGAACAGCATTTGGAGTAAGAACTAATTCTGAGTTTTAACCATAGGTTGGCAAGTTCATGAGTCTTGATACTTCTTCGAGACCAGTTGTTGATTGAGACGGTCCTAAAGCATGTTCACCTACAGCAGTGGTTCTCAACCGTGGCTGCACATTAGAATCACCTGGGAATCTTTTTAAAATCCTGATTTCTGGGCCTCATCCTCCGGAAATTCTGTTTCTTTGTTACTAATGATGAGGCCCAGAAATCAGGATTTTTAAAAA